TCTCTCCTATGTGTAAACATAAACATGAGATGGCTCCACTGCAGGAATCCTGTTATTTGTTCCTTTAGATCATCTCTGTACCCTGCTTTGCACTCACAGAAGTTAAAGTCTATGGCATCTGGTTTATTGTTGGATTTGGCTAATGGGAGGCACTGGTCGGGTATGAGAGGCAGCAGGAAAGATAAGTTGAGGGATTTATTCCTCTGAGTATTATCCTACTGGTCCTTGTGTTGAGCAGGGTCTGTGTTCTGTTCATGAAGGCATCCTGCCCCTATCAGCTGGTTCCCCCATGGTTCTTGTCAATACTGGCCAGTACTGGTATCAAGGCCTGGGGCTGCTTCTTTCCATTGACTTCAGATCTTTGGGATGGTAATGGCTTTTGAGGTTGCCATCCCAGGTGGATTTCACCTTCCCTGTGAACTCTTCCCATGTCTTTGGAATGTTCTCTCTATTATACTTTCCTCTGTGTCCCCCTGTACATGTGCCGTCTGTTTCCTGATGCGTCTTTGACCAAGATTCCTCCTCATCTCACTGTCTCTCTCCCTGGACCCTACTCTTGAATCGACTGTTTCTCTTTCCATTCTTTTACCAACTTCCTGCAACATTTCTTTATATATGCAGCTCCCAATTCTTTACTTCTTCTAACTATTTGAGACACATAAGCTCCTACTAAAGCAGAATATTCTCTGTTCTGCTATTTTGTAAATGTTTGCATAGGGTTGTTGTTGTTCCATTCTTAAATGTTTGCTAAAATTTACCAGTAAGAACTGGATCCAATTTCTTCTTTCTTATCTCATTGCCACTGCTTTCTTCCAGGGTTTCACCAAGTCTTTCCCACTCTGATATCGTATCCTTCTCCTACGCCCAGAGTACTGTGAAATAAATCTACTGAAGTGCTGATCTATCACTGTCACTGCCTGCTTAGACAACTTCCCTGTCTGGTCTGTTGTTGTCCTTGACTTCTTATTAGCATGTAGTGCTGTGTGGAGCAGTACTTAAGTTCTGCTGGGTCTGGGCCCAGCCTCCTTCTCAAACCCTGTCCTCTCCACTGCACCCTGAACATTGACTTGTTGGCTCTTTATCAGGAATTCCATACTTTTGGAATTTGTTGTCCTTGTTAATGCTAGTGAGTCATTCTGGAATATTCTATTCCCACTCTTGATATATTTTATTCCTTTCTAAGGTTGCCTCATTTGTGAAGCCTTTCTGATTCCCACAGACATAACTAGATGCTCTCTCCCAGGTGTTTCCATATCTTAAAGTGGGAGAAATGGTATAGATTTCCAAAGGGAGAACACTGACAAACCTTTCTAAGGTGGGCTTATTTTCTACAGCTGACATCACAAGGTATCTCAGAAAATCTGTGAATACCTAAAATTACCTTCTGTAACAGATTGTCAGTCTGCTTTGGGAAAGACTGTTCTCTGATAGTTTCCACCAATCTGCTTTCACAAAGGAAGGGCGCATCTGCTCATTGGATTTCTACATTGGCATTAGGGGAACTTAATGATAGTCACCATATCACGGGATGGAGTTTTATCTATGTTTTGACTACAGACAATGAATTGGTGATTGGACTAAAATGGATCTTAGATGACTAAATCATAAAAGATTTCAGTATGGCATGCAAAATAATGTGGAGCATTATGAATTTGTAAAAGGAATATTTAAAGAGGGCTATATTGATGCTCATCAGAAAAACCATCTTCTGAATTCAGAAGTGGACTAGAATCAACGGGATGATTCTTTCATCCACTTCTTGGAGGATTCTTCCTGGTACTTGAGATGAGTGGTAACGAGGTCATTCTAATGATGCAATGATGTGCAATAAGTAAATAAGTAAGTAACAGGGAGTCAGTCGAATCCACTGACTCCCTCTGAATTGCAAATATTTTTGTTTATCAACAGGGACAACCAGAGACTTAAGACCATTGTGGGCCACTATCCAGACTGATATGAGCTAGCAAGTGGACTTCATTGGCCTGAGGAGGATATTGATGTGTCCTGATTGATAGGATAGGCACATATTCTGGATTTTGATTTGCATTTTTGGTAATGGAAACAAATGCTTCAAATATCATCATAGGATTAGGAAAGATAATATTTTAGTTTGGACCCTCTTTTCATATATTTTCCTCTCAAGAAGCCAATCTTGCTGCCTTACATCTCAAATCTAAGAAAGGATTGATCTATACCTGGAGCAATCAATTTCATTTACCAAATAGAAAATTAGGTTGCCTCTATACAATAGAGACAAGTAAAGTGTTTGGAAACTCGAGTGTTCTCTGAGGTATTTTTTTCATACTATCATGCCTGATAGTAAAGGCTAATAGAAAAATATAGCAATAAAAAATATGCTAAATCCTTAGTAGGATGCTAAATATTTAGGTGGATAACTCAGATCCTTTACAAATAAACATTTTATTTAATGTATTAATTTTTGACATAGCTGTGAAAAATATGGTAGGTAACAAATATGACCTTGTGAAAAATTAGAGACGTTAGAACTTCAGTAACAATATTTCTGTTTGCTTTTTATATACAAGCTTTTATTTATATATAGTAATCAATGTTTTCTCTCCTTTTCATATTTATTTTATACACAAGTTATTAGATATTAACTATACAATTTAGTGTTGAGGTAACGAAATATTCCTTGGAACTGTGACTGAACTTGAGGAATAGGTAACATATCCAGCAATGCATGCAATGACTGTTGGGACTGTGCATCTTGTTATTCTGAAAAAATGTGAGAATTTCCTGTTTTGTATGAAGAATTGTCGTATCTTTTAAAATAGAAGTGTTGAGTTGTTCTACTGTTGTATGAGAATTCAAACTTGTATAAAAGGGTGTATATGGAAGGTGTGTAGTGAAAGGTGTGAACCATGCTGGTAGTCAACTTATTGTGATTATGTTACAAACTCTTACCTTTTTTGCTTCTTTGTGAAAGTGGACCTGGGCCCCTTTAATGCCTTAGTCAGCTGGAATGATGTCCAACTTCGTTATTTGAAAAGACTGGAGAGACAGTGCAGAAGAAACATATTTTATTTCAATTGAGGTGAAAGTCACATAATATATCATTCAGCATTATAATCATTTTATTTAATTATTATTTTTAGAGAGAGAGGAAGAGAGAGAGAGAGATAGAAGCATGGATGTGAGAGAGAAACATTGATTGGCTGCCTCCTGCACACCCCTTACTGGGGATCAAGTCCACAACCTGGGCATATGCCCTGACCACCAATTGAACTGGGACCTCTCTTTCCATGGGATGACACTCAATCCACTGAGCCACACTGGCCAGCCAGCATTATAACCATTTTAAAGTGGCTTCTGGTACATTCACAATGTTATGCAGCTCTCTTTTCTAATTACAGGACTTTTTAGCATCCTCAAGAGAAACTCTGTTCCCATTAAAGTGTTGTTTCCCATTTTCCCTTTCCCTTCACTCAGTGACAAATCACTTATCTGCTTTCTGTCCTTATGGATTTGCCCATTTTTGAAATTTTATATAAATGGAATCGTAAAATGTGTGCCTTTTTTGTCTGGCTTCTTTTAGTTAGCTTAATATTTTCAAGGTTCATGCATGTTGTAGCATGTGTGAATAGTACTTTACATTTTCTGGCTGGACACTATTCCATAGTACAGATGTATCAGGTTTTGTCTATCCAATCATCAGCTGATGCACGTTTGGGTTGTTTTCATTTTTTGGCTATTATAGTGTTACCACAAATGCTCATGTACAAATTTTTGTGTGGACATATGTGTTTTTTTATTTAATTTTTATTGCTGACACTATTACAGATGTCACTCATTTCTCCCACACCCTTTACACACCTCGGCCCAGCCCCAGCATCTCCCTCTCCTGGCCTTAACCATACTGTTGTCTGTCTCCGTGGGCTATGCATAAACGTTCTTTGCCTTATCTTTTTACATTCTTCTTCTTCTATTTTAAAAATATGTTTTTATTGACTTTGTAGAAAGGAGGAAGGGAAAGAGAGATATAAACATCAATCTAAGAGGGAAACATTGACCAATTGTCCATTGTGTGCTCCCTACTAGGGATCGAGCTCTTAACCTGGGCATGTACCCCAATCAGGAACTGAACTGAGATCTCTCAGTCCAGGGGATGACACTCAAATCACTGAGCCACACTGGCTGGGCTCTTTACCTTCTTTTATCCAGTCCCCTACCCGACTCCTCCCATCCGATAACTGTCAGTCTGTTGCGTGTATCCAAGCCTCTAGTACTATTCTGTTCGTCAGTTGGACATAGGTTTTCGATTTCTCTTGGGTATGTACTTAACAGTGGAATTGCTGTGTTAGATGGTAACTCTTGTTTAATTATTTAAGAAGATGCCAGGTTCTTTTCTGAAACAGTTGCACCAGTTTACATTCCCACCAGCAGTGTATGAGCTCACGGTTTCTGAAATTGCTTTGGCCCAGCGCTGTTTCCAAGAGGTTTTTCTCCAAGGTGAAATCATATGCAAACTGCCTGTGGTCATTGTTCAGACCATGGTCCAGAACATTTTCTGTGAAACATAGGATGCAGCAGAACTATATCTCCTGACTGACTGTATCACGAATGAAGCGTTAATTAAGCATTTATTATGCGTAGAGTGTGTACTAGGCTCAGAGAAGGTACAACATGAACATGGTTGAGAGTCCTTGTACTCTAAAGTGTGCATTTTTGTTAGATGTTCAAATGGTAAAAATTAATTTAGATTAAATTAATTGGTTATTTGGAACTACATTTTTTGGCATTTTCCAGGACTATTTTTCCATTTCCTAGGAGGAAGACTTGACTACACAATTAAATGAGTTTTTCAATGTGTATGTCATGTCTCAAAGCATGGTAGCTGTGTATAAGTGTGTCAGTCTCTGGGTGGCAATAATGGTCAGGGACATTTCAATTTTTACTCTTAATTTTTTGTAGTAGGAAATTTCATTATAATTTTTATATGTCGATTTTGATTAGTGAGGCTGATAGGATTTTTGATATTATTGGCCATGTGTTTTCAGTTTTTTAAATTCAGGTCTATTCAGAGCTACAACGTCTTTCTTCCTAACATCTACATGGCCTTTTAAGCTGAGGTTACTTTGTGGACAATCCTTCACCCACCCAAGCAGCCTCTGGAAGCCCAGTCTGAGCTCACGCATCCTGAGAGCATACACCATGGGGTTGAGAGCTGGGGGGATGACATTGTGCAGCACATTGAGGAGTACAGGGATAAGGGGAATCTTTTCTTTTACAAGGTGTGTGACAGACAGCACAATGACACCTGTGTAGAAGAAGCAGATGAGGATGAGGTGGGAGCTACAGGTGCTCAGAGCCTTGGACATTGCTTCTGCTGAGTTCAGCCTCAGCACATTGCGAAGGATTAGAGCATAGGAAGAGAAAACCAAAGCCATATCGCTCCCAACCAGGATCCATGCTAAGCACAGTTGGTAAAATTTGTTCACAGTGATGTCATCACAAGCCAGGCTGATCACCCCCAAGTTCGAGCACAGGCAGTGGTTAATTTCATTCTTGGAGCAGTAGAGTCTTTGGGCAGCCAGTACAGGCACTGGGATGGTCAACAAGCCATTTCTGAGCACCATGAATCCTGTGACTTTGATCATAAAAGCTTCAGTGAGTATGGAAGGATATCGAAGAGGGTGGCAGATGGCTATGTATCTGTCCACTGCCATGCAGAGGAAGATACCAGACTCCATGAAAATGAAGTAGTGGATGACATACATTTGAGCAAAACATTCAGGGAGGCTGATGGCCTTGGCATCAAACCAGAAGATGGCCATAATCTTGGGCATAATGGTGGTGGCCAAGCCAATGTCCACAAGTGCCAATATGCCCAGGAAATGGTACATGGGCTCATGGAGCATGGGCTCACGGTGAATGGTGATCACGATGAGGAGATTGGCAACAAGAGCTAAGAGGTAGAGCAGAGCCAGGGGCAGGGAGAGCCAGTGCTGCCACTCGTGAATGCCTGGGAGCCCCATGAGGATGAACAGGGAGATCTGGAGGCTGGAACTGTTGGGAGCAGTGGTGACGTTATCCATGGCACAGGTGCCCTGTTCTCAGTACCTGTCCATAAAACCCAAAGAGAAAGGAGGTTGCATTTGAAATTTCAGATGAGGGTCCTAATTAGAGTCTTCCACCAGGACCCAGTTTCTTTAATCATGAGTGCGCTCCAACATCATCATTATTATTATTATTACTATTGGCTCCTTAAAATGTTCTACAGAGGAGTAATAAATAAAGCCAAAATTATTTGTAAATCGAAAGGCTGGAATAGCTTTTTGTCATAACCATTTGTATGCCTAATAAGCATGTCTAAATACATCACCAATAGTCTTATCACTTACAGGTAGCAAATATTAATATTTGATATACTCTCTCCCATTTTTCTTTTTTGTGTTTTAGCAGTGTACGTCATACAGAGAGAGTTTTGTATCTTGCCTTTTTCTTTCAACAATATGTTCTAAGAACAAAATATGTGCTCAGGAAAAACTTAGTGGATGAATAAATAAACGAACCTTGACTTTCCAGTATCGTTAAAACCAACGTGAACTCTTAATTTTAATGACCACTGTATATTTCAATATTTGGCGATTTCAAATTTACTAACCACTCTTTTACTTTACAGATTAGTTCTGAGTAGAATTCCAGAAATGATACAAAAATGATACAAAGTACATAGTTGTTTGAAAATTTTAATTTTAGTAGTAATTTGATATTATTTTAAATGTCAGACATGCACATGTTAAAAAATAAACATAATAAAAAATATAATCTCATGCTTGGGATTCCCCAATTTTTTTCTTTATACCAATATAATTTCTTGGGAATCCTCCCAGAGATCGTTTTTTCATAAATAAGAATATATGTACTAACTATTTTCCCCATAAAATACAAAAACAAATATTATAGTAATCATACCTTTCTTATCCTTTGTTTCCTTGAGTTTCCTCTTTTTGCTTGGTTATCTTGGAGACTGTTCCATATCGCCATATACATATACCTCATTGTTGTTAAGTTGCATTATTTTCTGCCCATGGATGTCCGATATTTTTATGAGAACTTTTGATAAACATTGACATGTCCAGTATTTTGCCACTGCAGAAACATGATTTAAAAAATGTACTTGCTCATATATCTGTAAGCATATGTGTAAATTTATTCATATGGTTATTGCCATGAAGTGAATTGCTGGGTGAAATGGAAAAAATGGTTTTGATTGATTTGCCAAATTGTCTTTCCAAGAGATTCACCTGGTCCTGTGTGACAGCAGGACACTTTTAATGCTCTTGACATACACTGAAACATTGCTTCAAAGATTTATTGTGTTACTTTCCACACCTAGAATATTTCCATGAGGGTGTCTATTTCATTACATCCATGCCATAAGTGGAAATTTTAATTTAAAAACCTTTATTAATAGAATAAGTAATAATTGAAATTTCAATTTTTGTTCACCTTTCCCTCCATTATTTAGTGACATTTTCAAAGATTGTTATTTTTCCATTTATATACTTAGTTTATCTTCTCTTTTTTTTCTATGCTCAACTCATCTTGTAGTATTAAAAAAATGAGTTTTCAAGGGCTTACATGGAGTCTGATAGCACACATTATTAACTTGTATGAGTTTCATTGTATCTTAAACATATTACCTCCATCTGTTGTGTTTTTTTGGAAAAAATTTTGAGACATTTCCATTACAAATTTATCCTTTTAAAATATCAGATATGTGCATATACTTAAACTTTATTGTATTCAAACAAGTGCAGTTTTCAAATTAATTATATTGGGATTTTAAACTTGAAATAATGCAAATTCCAACATTTTAATATTTTCTTTAAAAATTAATTTTGTAAGCATTTTGAGACGTGACATAGAATGAGAAAGTCTCTGAATTAATTTCACCCACGAATAACTAGATCATCATTACAGCACCATTTAGTAAAGAAAACCGCTTTTCCTCATTAATTTACAGTGTGCTTTTTTTGTCAAATATTCAATCCAAACACATATTTAAAGGTTATTGCCAGAGTGATAGCCTTCTCTGTTGTTAGTTTCATACTAATTAAATCAGTGTATTTACCTATGGTAAAGAACAGTGTTACAAATAATTTCAAGTAATTTTGTAAAGCAAAAACGACTGGTTACAATTGGCTATGAGACATATGAAGAAATGCTCAACATCACTAATCATCAGAGAGATGCAAATTAAAACACCAATGAGGTATCACCTCACACCTGTCAGAATGGCCACCATCAACAAATCATCAAACAACTAGTGTTGACGAGGGTGTGAAGAAAAGGGGACTCTAGTACACTGCTGGTGGGAATGCAGACTGGTGCAGCCACTATGGAAAACAATATGGTGTTACCTCAAAAAATTAAAAATTAAATTTCCATTTGACCCAGTGATCCCGCTTTTAGGAATATACCCTAAGAAGCCTGAAACACCAATCAGAAAGAATATATGTACCCCCATGTTCATAGCAGCACTATTTACAGTAGCTAAGATCTGGAAACAGCCCTAATGTCCATCAGTAGATGAATGGATAAAAAAGCAGTGGTACATATACACAACGGAGTACTATGCAGCTGTGAGAAAGAAAGATCTCTTATCCTTTGAGATGACATGGAGGGACCTAGAAAGTATTATCCTAAGTGAAACTAGCCAAGCAGAGAAAGACAAATATCACATGATCTCACTTATTTGTGGAATATAATGAACATAACATTCTGAGGAACAGGGTAGACCCAGAGACGTGGAAGTAGGGTACAGAATGACAACCCTCAGAACGAGGGGTGGTGGGGGGAGGGAAGAGATAAACCACAGAACTTATATACATGTACGCATAACCCATGGATGTGGACAACAAAGCTGGGGACGGGGTGGGGGAGATGGGGAGGAGGATGTCAATGGGGAAAAAAGGAGAAACATCTGTAATAAAAGTAAATAAAAAAAAAGACTGGTTATGACATTTTTGAATATAAAAGTAAAACAAATTAATTGTGTAAGAACTCATTTTTACCCTCCTGAATCTTGCCATGTAGAAACCTATTTTGCCTTTCTGTCATAAATATTTTGTCTTACTGTATTTTTCAATTGACTATTATTACTTCAAAAAGCCTTCTAATGATTGTTGTATTTTATAACATGTCACAAAATATAGCTATTTTACACTACCACATCCCAAAGCAAATTGCTTTTCAGTAAATGCTCAGATTTTTTTTCTTTTTTGGTAGAAATAGGTATTATCTATTATTAGGAGAACTTTGAGTACTGTAAGCTCTAATTTTTATTTTCATTTTATTAAATATTTTTTTTTTTTTTTTTTTTTTTTAGTTTTTCCATTGAGATTTTATTGAAATCTTTAGAAGACAGAAATACCTTCAGATAGTTTTGTCTTGTTTTTATATGCTTTTTTCTTTTCTTTTTTTTTATGAATTTTTATTTATTTTTTTGTTACAGATATTTTACCTTTTTACCCCATTGGCACCCCCCACCCCACCCCCTCCACCCTGTCCCCGGCTTAGTTGTCCATGTCCATTGGTCATGCATACATGCATATAAGTTCTGTGGTTTATCTCTTCCCACCCCCCCACCCCCCATCCCCTCTTCTGAGGGATGTCAGTCTGTGCCCTACTTCCATGTGTCTGGGTCTACTGTATTCCTCAGACTGTTATGTTCATTATATTCCGTATATAAGTGAGATCATGTGGTATTTGTCTTTTTCTGCTTGGCTTCTTTCACTTAGGATAATACTTTCCAGGTCCCTCCATGTCGTCTCAAAGGATAAGAGATCTTTCTTTCTTACCGCTGCATAGTACTCCATTGTGTATATGTACCACAGCTTTTTGATCCATTCGTCTACTGGTGGACACTTGGGCTGTTTCCAGATCTTAGCTATTGTAAATAGTGCTGCTATGAACATGGGGGTACATATATTCTTCCTGATTGGTGTTTCAGGCTTCTTAGGGTATATTCCCAGCAGTGGGATCACTGGGTCAAATGGAAGTTCAATTTTTAATTTTTTGAGGTAGCACCATATTGTTTTCCATAGCGGCTGCACCAGTCTGCATTCCCACCAGCAGTGTATTAGAGTTCCCTTTTCTCCACACCCTCGCCAACACTTGTTGTTTGATGATTTGTTGATGGCGGCCATTCTGACAGGTGTGAGGTGATACCTCATTGTTGTTTTAATTTGCATCTCTCGGATGATTAGTGATGTTGAGCATTTCTTCATATGTCTCTTGGCCATTTGTATGTCCTGTTTGGAGAGGTGTCCATTCATCTCCTCTGCCCATTTTTTAATTGGGTTCTTTGTCTTCCTTTTGTGGAGTTGTGTGAGCTCTCTGTATATATTGGAAATTAACCCCTTATCTGATACATCATTGGCAATGATGTTCTCCCATACAGTGGGTTGCCTTTCCATTTTGATGATCGTTTCTTTTGCTGTGCAGAAGCTTTTTAGTTTGATGTAGTCCCATGTGTTCATTTTCCTCCTTTATTTCTGTTGCCTTAGGTGATGTATCAGTGAAAATTCTGCTCCGTATGATGTCCGAAATTTTGTTGCCTACATTTTCTTCTAGAATTTTTATGGATTCACGGGTCACATTTAAGTCTTTTATCCATTTTGAGTTTATTTTTGTGTATGGTGTAAGTTGATGGTCGAGTTTCATTTTTTTGCATGTAGCTGTCCAATTTTCCCAACACCATTTATTAAAGAGGCTGTCTTTACTCCACTGTATGCTCTTGCCACCTTTGTCAAATATTAATTGAGCGTATTGCCTTGGGTCCATTTCTGGGTTTTCAGTTCTGTTCCACTGGTCTATATGCCTGTTCTTGTGCCAGTACCAGGCTGTTTTGGTTACAGTCGCTTTGTAGTATAACCTGATATCTGGTAATGTGATCCCTCCAACTTTGTTCTTCTTTTTCAAGATTGCTGTGGCTATTCGGGGTCTTTTTTGGTTCCATATGAACTTTTGAAGTATTTGTTCTAGTTCTATGAAATATGTCGTTGGTATTTTGATGGGGATTGCATTGAATCTATAGATTGCTTTGGGTAGT